TAATCTACAAATAGAGGTACTAGTAGTGGCAAGGTACTTTATGTCATCTATAGAATTGTAATTTTTTGTTTATATATTTAACATAATTGCGAAAATCCTAATTTTATCTAAATAATAAATTAATTCTGTGCAGAAACTTTTTTAGGATCAAAGAGTTGTCTGCATGTAGCTGATGTGTTTACTGAAATACTCATAAATTAATTAAAATATCAATAAATGTTTCCTACATTTAATATAGAGTCAGATAAGATAAGTAATTCACAATTTTTCTTCAGCTTGACATACTTTGACAAATCAAGAGATTGTCTTTTTCTTCTCCTTCTGCCAGATACACATCCATATGGATTTATTTCAGTTGTTTTAACATCCATAATATTGTAGACTACAACTCCTGAAGATCCTGGTCCTCGAGCCAACAAAGTCATTCCAACACCATAATTAGCACCATTCTCTCTTTTCGTGTAGTTGACTTTAAATGCAACTGGATTTCCAATGCTTTCAGTGTATGTTATTCCTACAAATATTTTTTTCATTTTATTTCCTGATTAAGTTTTTTCTCTTTGATTCTCTTTAGATTTAATTATGAGCAAATAATTGCACTACTCTTTTTCACAGTTCTTACCATTAGAGAGGACTCCCAGTGATTTCTGCACTTTTTTGTTCTCTATCTGGAATATCAAATGGTTACAGTCCAGCCTCCCCATAAAATATATACTTCTATTGCCAAGATCAAATTCACTCTCAAAGCAGCATTCTAATCCACTGCAGTCTGGTAGATATTTGCAGTATTTCTGCATCTCTGCTGGAATATTTGCTATCTTTGATGTATCACATACTGCAAAATACAAGCATAATGCACATAATAAAGGATTATCTTAAATGAAAATAAAAGTGGAAATGCCTGAAGAAGACAAAATATTCTTCTTTTTTTGAATGTTACATTTTGTATTAATTAATTCCCATTCTTTTCATTTTTATATCAACAGAATATAAGTCTACAATAACTAGACATTCTTTGGCACCCTCACATGAAGTTTAAATGTCTTAGAACAATATAGCTATAGTTTATATCCTCTGACCACGAGATTTATATCTTTCAAGTGAAATATGGACATCCATTTTCATTAGAAAATTATGGATTAACTAGCCTGATATGAATTTTACATTTTTTTTTGCCAGTGACCTTGATCTTCCCTCAATGACCTTTGTCGAGATTATGATACACTTTCAGATCATACAATTTTTAATACCATGCAAGCATGAGTTTCAAATGAATATTAAGTTTGCAAAATTATAGTCCAGAATGGATTTCAGAGAGATTGACGACTGACAGATGGATAAACATGAAAATATGTTTGATGGTGAAATTGTTATGGTGAGCTCAGTTTTGTTTTTTGAAATAATAATAAATTCTAAACATCTCCAGATTTTTCTGATAAAATCAGAAATACCTGAGCTGTTTTAGTGACAAAAATATGACCTCACATACAAATAAGTCCTGTTGACTGAGGATGCAAATGATAATTTTGGTATGGAAATCGCATTAAATGGTTGTTTTTATTTTCTTTTTCAATTGCATGTAAATTGCTGCTATGTTTAAAACACCATGTTGCTATGCATTGTAAAGAATAATTGGTAGTTTGGAATTTTTTTTCACTTGGACTCAAAAATTTCTTTGAACATTAAGCCCATTTCAACTTGAATTTCCTTCATTTGATCTATGGAGTTTGCTATGTAAACAGCACTTTGCACCAAATTGCTCCACTTGCTATAATTCATATATACCCCTAAACTTGTTTTGTGCAAAGTGGAGGGAAAAAGAAAAAAAATTCAAACTCAAACTACATATTTCTTTACAGTACTTAACTTCCACCAATCCCAAGAAATTTAAACACAAAGCTCTGACAAAATTATTATTTCAAGTTATAAGCAAGCACATCTATTTTAGTTGTGAGCCAGCAATGTGTCCAATTATTAAGGTCTTCCGTTTCCAACGGAAGACCTTCTACTGATTCTGAAGATTAAGATTATTAACGTCTTCCGTTTCCAACGGAAGACCTTCTACTGATTCTGTTGGTAAAGATTATTAAGGTCTTCCGTCTTCAGCAGAAGACCTTCTTGTTTTTCTTAGGTTTCTTTTCCACTATTTATAAGGTCTTCCGTCTTCAGCGGAAGACATTCTTGTTATTCTTAGGTTTCTTTTCCACTATTTTTAAGGTCTTCCGTCTTCAGCGGAAGACCTTCTTGTTATGTTCCCCAAACGAAGTTGGGGAACATATTGTTTTTACTCTGTTTCTTATTATTATTATTTTTCTTCTTCCTGGGAAAATTTTGTCCACGAGTGATCTTGTAAACTACACATCCGACTAAGGTAAAATGTTTTTAGGGTCAGTAGACATGTTATGTAGATTTGCCGAACAAAGGTCATTTTGCGCGCACGTGCTTGCAAGAGCATGCACGTGCAACACGTGAAATGACCGATTTAATTGATTTTCACGTAACTTTTTACATTTTTGATGAAATGCTTTGAAACTCATAATATAAGGATATATTAGCAGCATAGACAATATTCCATGGTCAAAATAGCAAGATCTCACGCGCATGCACGTGCGCTTTGCTCTGATTGGCTGAAACTAAAGTCTCAATATCTTTCTTGTTTTTTGAGGAAATCCTTTGAAATTTTGAACATAGCCATGCATTAGGATATCCTACAACATGATATATAGCAATTATCATGAAAACACGTGCATGCACGTGCGCTGCAATCTGATTGGCTAAAACTTTAAATAGCTATAACTCCCTTGGTTTTCAACCAAACAGGATGGGATTTGGAACATAGATATATATAATGGACTACTACAAGAAGGTATGGTCACCATGCATATGCATACACGTGCGTATACGTGCGCTGCAATCTGATTGGCTGAAACTTAAAACAGCTATAACTCCCTTGGTTTTCAACCAAACAGGATGGAATTTGGAACATAGATATATATAATGGACTTCTACAAGAAGGTATGGTCACCATGCACATGCATACATGTGCTTGTACGTGCGCTGCAATCTGATTGGGTGAAACTTTAAACAGCTATAACTCCCTTGGTTTTCAACCAAACGGGGTGGGATTTAGAACATATATAGATGTAATGAACTTCTACAAGAAGGTATGGTCACCATGCTCATGTAGGCACGTGCGTGCACGTGAAATGGGTAAAATCAAAAATACACTTGAATGAGCGTTTTTTTAATATACTTTTAAATACTTTAATATTTAGCATATTAAAATATATAGATTGTGTAGACAATATGATATGGTCATTACGCACATGCATTCACATGCGCAAGTGTGCAATGAAAAAATTTGAATGAACATGGTACACTTCTGGGTAAACGTTGTTAAAGTCTCCAATGCACAGAGTTTCTCTTATTTAATTACGCTTACAGGGAATATGACTATAAAAGGGAGTTGGGGAGCGTTTGGGGAACATCTGTAACGGTCCCCGTTACAATTAGCACTAGTTATTCTTAGGTTTCTTTTCCACTATTTTTATTATTATTGTTTTTTTCTTACCGATTTTGTGCACGCGAGTTCTCGGAAACGGCTCGATCGATTTTCATGAAACTTTCAGGACTGTTAGAACGTCAAACAAACTTGATATAAAATTTTTTGTTTTGATGACGTCACTTCCGGTTTAGAGATTTTCGCGATTTAGTGATTTTCAAGGGGTCAGTTTGTCCGCGAGTTTTCTCAAAAACGGCTTTGGATAGAAACTTGAGTTTTTCAGCAAAGATAGAGCAATATATGTAGATGTGACACACATATTTCATTTTCGCCGGAAGTGCTGCACGCCGACGCTCGCTATGGTCCGAAAAAGGGCATATCAAGAATTTTAAAATTTCTAACACTTTTTCATTGATATCTTTTCATCTACAAATATTTTGTTAAGACATATAGAACAAAAGATGTAGAAAATGTGATGATCTTTCAAAGGATATCAACGATAAGGGGCTGCCCCCTATAATAAAGGGCCTAGAGGGGCCGAAATTTTTTACTTAATATCTCAAAAAATATTGAGAATTTGTAATACGTCAAAGAAGCAAAGTTGTTCAAAATGTCAAGGTTTATCTACTGGAGTCGTCAAAATACGTACGGCGTCGTCACTTCCGGCCAAACCGGAAGTAGTCGGAAAACGCGTAATTTTGCCGTTCTTGACAAGTTTTTGGATAACATATGTCTGTTAGAGAATAAAAATTAATTTTTCGTCCGTCGGTGTCACTTCCGGTCAAACCGGAAGTAGCCAAAAATAGGTTATTTTGAAGGTTTTTGATGCAGAATTGAAATTATAAAGTCACTGGAGATGACTTAGCTCATTGCTTTCTTTTTTAATGTCACTTCCGGCACTTCCGGTAAAAAGCAGACGGAAGACCTACTCGTTGCTTTGCAACGAGCTTTGCTCTAGTTAAGGTCTTCCGTCTTCAGCGGAAGACCTTCTTGTTATTCTTAGGTTTCTTTTTCACTTTTATTAAGGTCTTCCGTCTTCAGCGGAAGACCTTATTGTTATTCTTAGGTTTCTTTTCCACTTTTATTATTCTTTTTTTCTTACCGATTTTGTGCACGCGACTTCTCAAAAACGGCTTGATGGATTTCCATGAAACTTTCAGGACTTATGTTACATTACTTGAACCTTATGCATTTTTTTCCGATTTGATGACGTCACTTCCGGTTTGGAGATATTGCCGATTTTATGATTTTTGAAAGGTCAGTTTGTCCGCAGACTTTCTCAATAATGGCTCAAGATAGAAACTTGAAACTTTCAGGTAAGATAGACCAAAGTCTATAGATATGTACAACAAATTTCATTTTTATCGGAAGTGCCGCACGTCGGCGCTTGCTATGGCCCAAAAATAGTCCTATCACATTTTTCAAAATTTTTATCACCTTTTCTGCTCTAACTTTTTACCTAGAAATATTTTGTGAAAACACATAGAACAAAAGAAGTGTAGAATTTCAAGATCTTTCAAATGATATCGCGAAAAAAAGGGCTGGCCCCTAAAATAAGGGACCTAGAGGGGCCGAAGGTTTTTCCTTTATATCTCAAAAAGTATTGAGAACTTGTAATACGTCAAAGAAGCAAAGTTGTTCAAACTGTCAAGCTTAACCTATTGGAGTCGTCAAAATACGTCCGGCGTCGTCACTTCCGGCCAAACAGGAAGTAGTGGAAAATCATGTTTTTTTGCCGTTCTTAACAAGTTTTTGGGTTATATATGTCTCTGAGACCATGAAAAGTAATTTTTCCGTCCGTCGTCGTATCTTCCGGTCAAACCGGAAGTCGCAAAAAATGGCTCATATTGAAGTTTTTGATGCAAAATTGAAATTATAAAGTCACTGGAGACTACTTAGCTCAATGCTTTCCTTTGTTCCGTCACTTCCGGCATTTCCGGTAAAAACCGGACGGAAGACCTACTCGTTGCTTTGCAACGAGCTTTGCTCTAGTTATTATTATTGTTTTTTTTTCTTACCGATTTTATGCACGCGATTTCTCGAAAACGGCTCGATGGATTCCCATGAAACTTTCAGGACTTATGTAACATCACTTGAACCTTATGCGTTTTTTTCTGTTTTGATGACGTCACTTCCGGTCCGGAGTTATCAGCACTTTAATGATTTTTTAAGGGTCAGTTTGTCCGCACGATTTCTCCTCAACAACTTTAGATAGACACGTGATACTTTCAGGTCTAGTAGACCTATGTCTGTAGATTTGTGGAATGTATTTTATTTTTACCGGAAGTGCTGCACGTCGGCGCTTGGTATGGCCCGAAAATAGGCCTATCGCG